ATCACATAGTTTGTCCTTACTAAACTTGAGTTTAGGTAATCCTATCACTAACTACTTTCTACTAAGTTTGTTTAAGTGATCCATGTGAATATGTGCAGCTCTTCTATGCCAAAGCCAAATATTGTCTTCTTTGGTTATTAAACACTTGGTGTTGGAAATTGCTATTGAGTGTTCTAAATCTAGCATGTATATGTTTTCAATTCTTTTTCCAATGAATCTAATTTCTTTTGTCAATTTATCACAGATCAAGCAACAAGTGTTATCAAATTCAATTTTAAAACCTATGTCAATAAGTTGACTTATACTAAGAAAGTTATGTTTCAGCCCTTCAACAAGCAATACATTCTCAATCAATGTTAAGGAGGAAGAGTTACCAATGTTTCCATGACCAAGAATTGTCCCTTTGTTGTTGTCACCATAAGTAACAAATCCTTCATTCTTTAACTTCAGAATTGAGAATTTTGAAGGATCTCCAGTCATATGTCTCGAGTAGCCACTATCAAGATACCATAATAAGTTTTTGGCTCTCAAGCATTCCTATAACAAAGATCAGAAAATTGATTTAGGTACCCATGTGAAGGGTCCTTGATGGTTAGTTCTCAGCCTTTGGCTCTTTTTAACCTAAATCATTTCTCGATTTGGAACACCATACTTCCTAGAGTAGCAATTCTTTATTGTATGACCTTTCTTACAACAATAATAGCAAGTTGTTTATTTAATACAATTGCCTTTGTATTTTCTGAAAAATTGGTTTTTCTTCAAAACTCTTTCCTTTTTTTTTAATGGCATGTTCATGCTTTGATTAAAACCAAGTCCACTTCTATCAAAAGTATTTCTTTGCTTTCCCAAAATGATATTGAAATTTGCATTTCCATTTGTGAACTTTGCAAGAGTGATTTTCGAATCAGCATTTTCCTTTTCCAAAACCTTGCAATTTTCACAGCCTCTTTGGGAATTTGAATGAAAGCTTCTTGAAGTTGATCATAATCCAGATTAGATTCAAGGTCAGAATCACTTACTATTGTGTCTTGATTAGCTCCAGCCATCAAACATAAATTGTTCTCTTCAAATTTAGATTCATCACTTGTTGTGCTTGAGCCATTGTTTTCCCAAGCAATGTAGGCTCTTTTTCCTTTGACATTTTTCTTCATTTTCTTTTCCTCTTGTTGCTTCTTTAAGAGGTTTGGACATTCATCTTTTATGTGTACTGGTTTTCAACACTCAAAACAATTGTAAGAGGATGTACTTGTTTCCTCTCTCTAATACATTGTTGACATACTGTGGATACGTGATAGACACATTTTTACTCTGTTATTTATTTATTTATTTATTTATTTATTATCTAACTTCAATACGAGTTGGATAGCTGGAGTGCTGGACACAGTTATAGAAACAATTGTTTTTTTTAATCAATCATTTTAAAATTAACATTAGAATCATAATAAATAAATTTTCTATTTTTTCAAGTATTTTTTTTTTCGGAACTTTTTATTAAAAGTCTTAGAAAGTTGTTAGTTAATTTTGTAATGTAAAGTAACAAAGTTATAGTATTATGGAATTTTCTTTTTAATTAATGATAGTGACACCTTTTAGTTATATACAGTACATACATGTGAGTGTATGACATGTTCATGTGTTCTATGTTTTAGACTTTAGTTGTGTTGAAATGTCAATCTTGTATATTGAAGTCGGTGCTTCATATGTGATTTAAGAGATTGATGAGTAACTTGTGTCCGTAACTGTGTTGCAAGTTGCAACTTATGATCTATAAGAGCATCTAAAAAGACCACTTCCAGAAATTATATAATGAGCAAATTTAATTAAATGAACCAAAAACAGTGAAAGCTACACTGATTTTCAATGGCAAGAGTCTGGAAGACCACTTGCAGCATTGAAATTTTGTACAACAGAATGTACTAATCATGACACATTCCAAAGCCTCTATGTAACCAACCATATTGGTATTACAAACTAAACACACAATAAGTACCAAATTTACTATTTTAATTATTTGTTGCATGCATTATATTTCTTAGAATTAGGGGAGTCCTGGGGTGAGTGCAGGTTCAGATGCAAACTCAACAGCATCAAAAGATTGTGGAGGAATTGCTGTGAAGTGAAGAGATTGCACAGGTCCTGGTGCCACAATACCAGAACTTTTCATCTCACTCATTTGTCTACGAACATTTGCACCTTGTGCTTCACATAGTTTTGGAAGAAACGCACCTGTCCCAAAATTACACAATGTTACATTTTTATATACATAAAAATAAATAAATCAATGATGGAGGGTGCTATATATGTTTTACCTTCACCAGCTGCAAGGTTGAAGTAAAGATCAACAATGTTGGGGCAGCTTTGGTAGCATTGAGGGGAACACAGATTTTGTGTGAAACGAGTTTCCAAAAGAGAATCTGATGAGATTCCAAAGGATTTTCTGTCCAAACCACAAGCCTTAATACATTCATCACTCTCAATATGGTTCTTTTGTTTTTCAGCTTCAATCTCTGAAGTCTTGCACGTGTATGCTTCTTCCCCTGTCCTCTTCACACGCTTCTCAAGCACGCACCGTTTTCCTTCGTATGACACCGCATATGCGCACGTGTCGGGGCTCAAATACTCGCATTCTATCTCCCCTGAAAATTTACCATTACCACGTTTAATTTACAGTTAGAATATAAAAAGTTAAAGGGTCTTGAAGGACTCTAGTTAATTAAACTGATAAATAGAAAGTTTTGAGGATTAAAAATCACAAGGTTATATGAAATTAATTGAAATTTATTAAAAAGATATATAATTTAATAGCTAGATTTCACAATCTATTTAATATTTTTGTCTCTTAATTTTATAATTTTTAATCAATGAAAATAAGTATATTAAAATAAATATGTTAGGGCATCTCCAATGGAAGCAACTCATTTGAGTTGTTTCATGCATTGAAAAATGAAAAAAGTGGTCCCGAGTGTGCCATGTTAGTATTAAACAACTCAAACACAAATTTATTCTAATGGTAAGAAACTTTAAGAAATTCAACTTTTAGAATTTTTTTTCTAATTATTTATGAACCAATTTTAATTTTTTATTAAAAAGGGTAATTGCACTATAATGAAAGAAAATAAATTATGAGAAAAAATACACAATAAGTAGATATTAAAAATAAAATAAAATAATAATAAATACATAGACATTATACGAAATTAATTTTCATCATTATTATTTCTGAAACGTTCCAAAATATGTTCAATAAGATTTGTTTGAAATTTGGTAAGGAAGGGTTGCTTGAGGAAGCAACTTTCTCTCTTCTTCAAGCAACTCATGTTGTTACGTCAGAGTCTTTTAATAGTAAAAAATCGGGACTTGAGTTGCTTTATGGGACAAACAACTCTCATTGGAGTTGCTCTTAAAAAATGTATTGACACCCTTCTAAGAAAGAATGTGTAGATACACTTTTCAATAAAAAAAATTTGTCTTTTTTCAACCGATTTAATAATTTTTCTCTTTACATTGATACAATTTTCTTCTATATCATAATGATATAAAATCCTTTTACATTGATAGATTTTCTCTCTGCATGGATCAAATTTGAATATATCTTGATGTAACAAAATCTTGATACCAAATTCGATCGATCCAGGATATTGAAAAAATATGACTCATTTTCTACAGCTTTCTGAAAGAACTTAATTAAAAGAAACTGCTCAAATTAAATCGAATATGCGCATAGGATATATATGCAGGAAGCAATTAAGAAAATGACTTTTGAATTAAGAGGTTGACAGGTTATAGAGACTTTACCAAGAGTTCCTTGCACGGTGGCCAAAAATGCAAGAGAAACTATTGCCAAACATCTCAAGCTAACGTTAAAGGCCATGGCTGAAGCAGAAAATAATCGTTGGGATTCGCCAAAACTAGTTGCTACCTTTGGGAGTTTTGAAGTTTCGTTAATTATGCTTTGTAGTAATTGTTGTGATGCTTAATGGTTAGTTAATGAGTGTATTTATAGAGGTTTATGGAACGAAAATTTATTATTTTCTTAAGTGCTAGGAGGTGGACTTTTCGATACGAATCAATAGAGCGGAAAACAAAGAACACTAGTTTAGTTGTTTATTGAAGTTTGATTTAACTTACATGGTAGGAAATGTTTTCAGAAGTTTTGGTTACATGATTCTTTTCTATAAGTCCTGTTATTATTAAAAGAGAGATAAGGAAGTGAAGAAGAAAAAATGAATTAGAAAACATGATTGTAGAAAATATATATTAGAATAATATAATTAAAATGATGTTTTCTACATCAAAATAAGACATTTCTTTTTGTTCTCTCCGTTAATTTTAAGAGAATATTTTTAAAATATGTATATATAAAAATAAAAAAATATAAAACAAATATAAATACATATACAATATGAAATCAACTTAATTAAAATAAAAAATTTTAAATTATTATATTGTTATATAAATTGTACACTAAAAATATATTTAAATCTAATTTTAATTATTTTAAGAATTTAACTTGAATATAGTTATCATGTAAATGTTTTTTAATTATCATTTTTATCAGAAATTGTGATGTATAAAAATATTTTTAATACCAATTATATCTAAAATTAATTATTTTATATTAGTTGATTTAGTAAAAAAAAATACAAATAATATATGAAAGTAAATATCTTATTCTGAAAGACATGTAAGAAGTGATTTTTAAGCGGTATCCGCTATGATTGGAGGAGTGAACTACTACGATACCCCCGTGTGTCACTTCATGTTCTAATGAAAACAAAAGATTGTTCCCAATTAAGGTTCGCATATAGATCGTATTCTTGTGCTGATTTTTTATTTTTATTTTTTTGTTATGTCTAGGGATGACAAAAATACCTGCACCTGCGGGTATCTGTGGGTAAAACCCGTTACGGATAATAAATGGATAGACTAATTGAGTACCCGCAGATAATGGGGACGGATAATTTTTTACCCATTTATAAACGGGGCGGGGGCGGGTATGATGATATACATACCCGCGAATACCCGTTTAATAATATTTCTTAAATATCTTAAATATCCTAATTATCCTTGTACCAAATAACCCTAAAACTATACTCTCTCATCTTATTTTCTTATAAAAGTGAGGTTGATGAAGTTACTAACATGTGTTAAGCATGTTATAGAATTATTTTGGATGTAATTTGATTAATTTTCTAGCTTTGATTGGACCAATAAGATTTATGTATTTTAAGTTATTTACTTTCGTTTGGAATTATGAGATTGAATTATTGCAGCTTTATGATGAGACTTTAACTTGTGAGATTGATGCATTTTAATTTATTAATTATCTTGCATTTTTATTATTATTTTAACAAAATTAACGTTAAATACAAGTTCAAAATTAATACTAAATTTTTATTTTTAATATTTTAATGACATTAAATATAAAATTAAAATTATTTATAATATTTTTTTTTAATTTCTTAAAAGATTTATAAATATCTATGAATATCTGTGGGTACTTAAGAAATTCATGGATACCCGCGCGGATATGGGGTGGGGAAGGGGCCAATTTTCATCTGGCGGGGCGGGGGCGGGGGCGGGTTTACTATTACCCGCCCCCATGGGGCCCCATTGTCATCCCTAGTCAAGGCACAAGTATATTCTTTTCCTTATAAGAACAATGGGTGGTAAAGCTATTTTCTCACTTTTAAAATTTTTAAAACATTAATACAAAATAATTTTTTTTAAAAGGGTGATTATGAATCTGATTTAACGTTAAAAATTGACTTGTAAGATAAAAAATATATATTATTTATATATATATTATTATGCTTTTTTTTTATCTCTAATTAACCTTATATATGTTAACCTCTCAACTTCTATATATTATATCTTATATATTATACATATATCAATCTTTCAATTCATATATATTAAAAATAAATATTTATCTTGAATGAGAGTGTTTTTAAAGGCTTTACTATTTCAATTCAAGGGTTTTTAGATAATTTTTTAACTTCTTGTATAATTAATTTTTATTTATCATAATTGTTTATAAATTAAATTTTAGTATTTTAAAATAAATTGTTAATAAATAGAAATAATAGTATGTTACAATATAAATAAATTATTAACACTTATATATTAAATATGAACATTTATCTTATATAAGTATTTTTAGGGATTTTTCTTTATGAAAATTTTTTAACTTCTTATCTAATTTGGTTTGATTTATGTTGGAGAGTTTCATATCAAGGAGCATTTCGCACAATAGGTAGTGAGTAAACCACATAAGTGAATTTGACACCACAACATTATCCAAAACCTTAAGACATTAGGTAGTTGTATTTTTCTCACTTATATTCTATTCAATATGTTCAACTTTAATTAATTAATGTAAGACTCACTTCACACTTGAACTCCAACACTCTTCCTCAAGTGTGATTCTCTTTCACATGATCACACTCTCCCTTAAGCGAAAACATTTTTTTTTTGTCTACAGGTATTCAATGGTGCCCTTACTTACATTGTTGTTGCACATCAACGACACACATCCTCCACACCTTTAGTGAGACTTTCAATATAAGGAGTGATCTCATTCTTAAATCACTACAAGAAAAATGCTGATTTTCGACAGAAATTTCCGACGGAAATAGGAAAATTTCCAATGGATTTTTCCTTTTTCCGACGGATTTTTACTTTTTCCGACGGATTTTAATCCGTCGGAAAAAGTGGCGTCGGAAAAAAAAATCCGTCGAAAATAATTTTCCGACGGAGAAATCCGTCGAAAAATTCTGTCAGAAATTGCTGTCAAAATTTTTGACGAAAAAATGCGTCGGAAATTTTAATTTTTTTTTAATTTTAATAAATTTATTAATGTAACAACTCTCATATTTAGCCTCTCAAGGGTTCTATTTCACAATATTTCACTGTTTAGCATGTTTTATCCTTACTTGTGCAATTTCTGGGAGACTTCCCAGCTGATGAGTAAGCTACCGAAATGTCTATGTGTGTTGTAAGTATAACTTGTACAAATTAATTCATTTAAGTCAAAGGAAAGAGTTTTGAAGAAAAACCAATTTTTCAGAAAATACAAAGGCAATTGTATTAAATAAACAACTTGCTATTATTGTTGTAAGAAAGGTCATACAATAAAGAATTGCTACTCTAGGAAGTATGGTGTTCCAAATCGAGAAATGATTTAGGTTAAAAAGAGCCAAAGGCTGAGAACTAACCATCAAGGACCCTTCACATGGGTACCTAAATCAATTTTCTGATCTTTGTTATAGGAATGCTTGAGAGCCAAAAACTTATTATGGTATCTTGATAGTGGCTACTCGAGACATATGACTGGAGATCCTTCAAAATTCTCAATTCTGAAGTTAAAGAATGAAGGATTTGTTACTTATGGTGACAACAACAAAGGGACAATTCTTGGTCATGGAAACATTGGTAACTCTTCCTCCTTAACATTGATTGAGAATGTATTGCTTGTTGAAGGGCTGAAACATAACTTTCTTAGTATAAGTCAACTTATTGACATAGGTTTTAAAATTGAATTTGATAACACTTGTTGCTTGATCTGTGATAAATTGACAAAAGAAATTAGATTCATTGGAAAAAGAATTGAAAACATATACATGCTAGATTTAGAACACTCAATAGCAATTTCCAACACCAAGTGTTTAATAACCAAAGAAGACAATATTTGGCTTTGGCATAGAAGAGCTGCACATATTCACATGGATCACTTAAACAAACTTAGTAGAAAGTAGTTAGTGATAGGATTACCTAAACTCAAGTTTAGTAAGGACAAACTATGTGAT